TGCATATAAATAAACATAATGCTACGTATAGTCCTCGCGCGACGAGAAGGCATCTTTGTGTTTACATTCCCCCTCTTACTAGACGCACCACTGCCGCAGCTAGTAAGAGGGGGAATGTAAACACAAAGCTGCCTTCTTGTCGCGTAATGATTGTGCGCGCATTTCAAACGTCAGGGGCAATAAATAAGTAAAAGCAACATGCAAAAATTACTCGAATTCGACCAAACAAACGAATTTGTCAATTTTTCAATCAAATGGACAGAACAAAATAACATTGTTCTCAATACTGCCACCACTAATTATTATAAATTAACAATAAATGTCGCTACTTTTACTCGTTTATATTATTCAAATAACTATTAAATATGTTTATAATTCATTTATTACAGCAGATATGAGATGAACAATAAAATTATCACTATCATATAATACTAATTTATAAATATTAGTATGCAATGTTTCCTTAATATTACCTACAACGAAATCCAAATGTAATCCCTTGCCTTACAACTTCATTTCCAATAGCGCGCGCCATAAACGTTTCAGCTTGTAAACAGAAGTGGATAATTTGGGAAAAGGAGATGCGAGATTATTCGAGCCTCACGGCTCGTTTTTATAGTCGCCGATTGTCGATAACCATAAAAGCGAGCCGCGAAACTCGAATAATCGCATCTCCTTTTCCCAAATTATCCACTTCTGTTTACAAGCTGAAAGACAAGGAGAATTTACTGTACTTCGCCATTAAGTAAAATAATTGAAGTGGCAGTGTTATAAAGACATCGACAGCAACTGGGACATCCACCCTATTCGACGCTAGTATATCAAAGGATTGCGTGGGTTCACTTTTTTATCATAGCATCGTTCCTTTACCAGATTTTATCCTGCCGATACTTCTCACCTGTCTATCTTCTGCACGCCTGCATTTACACGAGTGGATGGACGAATTTGCCCGCGCTTTTGCCGGCTTTGTTTTCGTGCTGAAAGGATATAGGTCGATTGTAAATAGCAGATTCTTTTGTTACCATGCAATATCGTGAGGCCGTGATTTCTGCCCGGCAAAGATTTGTACGCGACGTTCATTGTTACGTTCTCGATCAACCGATGTATCAGCAGTTATTGAAACCCTCTGTGCTGCTTCAAGCCTGTGTGTCACGCACGGCGAAAAAAGTTTAATTAGCCGAACGCGACAAAATGTAACCGGGTGCGCAACGGGATCATTGTATGATCTGTGAAAAACCGAATCTATGGCATTGCAGTAGCAAAACCATTGTATTGCATCGATACCGTATACATACAGGGTGTCCTAAAAGTATGTTACCTGGAAACGAGGGAAATGAGGGATTCCTGTGGTCATTCGAAGTAACTTTTTCCTTAGCACAAATGCGGTCCGCGGCTTTGTTTCCGAGTTATTAATGAAAAACACTGACCAATGAGAGGCGAGTTCAACTAAAACAAGGTGGCCGAGCTAACGAGCGGTGGAAGTCCAGTTCCACTGATTGGCTCGGCCCGGCGCTTAGCGCCAGGCGAGCTCGCCTCTCATTGGTCAGTGTTTTTCGTTAATAACTCGTAAACAAAGCCGCGGATTGCATTTTCGCTAAGGAAAAAGTTACTGCAAATGACCTCAGCAACTCCCCATTTCCAGATTACGAGACATTTTTGGGACACTTTGTATTCCTAATAAGAGAGTCGGAGAATTTCTAATGAACACTTTAACTGCCGCGTTACCCATATGCGGATGACTCAGATGATTATTTACTTAGACTTGAAAATTGTTTTACAATAATATCTATCGTATCTTCCTAATTCTATTATTGACAAAGTAATTATAATTTCATTAAAAATAAGATACTTTCGTTTTATTAAATTTTTGAGATTACTGGCGCGGCAGTCAAAGTGTTAATAAACACACGGTTAGAACAGTGTAGTTTAAAATCATGAAACAAATTAGCTACAAGATCTAGACCCAACTGTCTAAAATCAGAAAATCAGTTCAGAGGAACTCCATTACAAGTTAAAGAAAACTTGAGATACAAATATTAAAAAAGAAAATCGTTCAACTGCCATTATTAGTTCCTCCAATATTCAAGAATGATCAAAGTATCAATTCAGTCCAAGAGTAGCAAAGTAACCCAAGTACAATGATACTAATGCAACAAGAAAGTAAAATCCGATAATCTAGATTACCTTACATTTGCGACACAGTCGGCTCGTTGCGCGGTCTATTGTTCATCGATTTCCGAAGGATATTCGCGATGGGTAAATGGAAAATGAGAGAGAAAAGTGTAAATAACTAAATAACGTTCGCGTATATTAATCGCACTTGGCAAATGTACAATCAAAATTTCCAAAGACCGCGTGTCTAGAAACACGAAGACAATGGCGATAAAAAGATCGATTATTTTCTCCTCTCGCGAGGAAATAATGAACGCGTAACGTCGGTATCTGCTGAAAATTTGGGTCTGTAACGTAATTGGACAGGCAATAAACGCGATTCAGGTCCAGGAAACGTACGATCGTCCGCGGAAGTAGAGGGCGATGGCAGCCGGGTGAAAGGCGACGCTCATAGTGTAAATAAAAGCAGACTCAAGCCAGACAAAGTATTCTCCTCCGCCTTTTCCAACCTTCTGTGAATCCCTCTTCTCGCTTTCTTAAAGCTTGAAAGAAAAAAGGAGCGTAGTCCCTTCACGGACGGCACGAAGCCGAATCGGGAACCAGCAAAAGTGGAATTCTGAAATATTAATGCGACTTCCGCCGAGGCTGTGCGCCGATCTTCTCCTCTCCTCTCCTCTCCTCTCCTCTTGCACTTCTTGTATTTTTGTTCTCTCTTGTTTTTCTCGTTCTTTGACGTTTACCCGTCTCTTCTTGGCACACCCACGTAGCCCAACAATCTTGTCAAAGGGTGTACGTACATGTCGGCACACGGAACACCGAAGGGTCGCTTGTTCCTGTCGCTGGTCGGATCGCGTATCCTTTATCGAGCGACGTCGTAGGAAACAAATTCATGGACTCGAGTTTGTGCCAGTGGAAAGTTCGACAATTAATAGGTAATGACTGTCTGTCGTTCGGATCGTTGCCGGTATCGGTGTATCAACGAGGAACTGGTCTAAATACAGAGGAAAATTCATTTAGGATTATGTACTACCGTTTCGTAATTTGTTAACACTTTATTTTGCTGTCGATAATTTTTCTCAACGGTTTCCTTAATATCAAACATACCACGGTTAATCGCCTGTTTCTCATTTTACAATTATTCCAATTATAGAGATACTTTCGTGGAAAATGATAGAATTCATTGCAATATTGCAGTAACTATTCTTCTTACTTTTATAAGGCAATGCACACGAGCCAATAAATAATAATTCCCGATTTCAGACGGGAAACGATAAGTCGCTCTCGGAAACATAATTCGATAATTTCTATACAATTATTATTCAGAAGAAAATTGTTAAGCTCTTTTTTCAACGTGATATCGTCTGTAAGAAAGTTGTTAATAAAGTATCTACTTAAATATCACTTAGTATACTTTCTGAGATCAGACTAACCGACAAATGGAAAGTAAATAAGATAAGACGGTAAATAAGAATGAAACAGTGCCGCACACCACAGAGGCGAACACAGAACCTTTAATTATGAAAAGAGCAACACGTAACGATCGTATCGTAAACCCGGCCCGACCTCGTGTATCCACCAATATATTAGTAATAAAGAATTCCCAAACTACGCGAAATTATTTATGTAGAAGCGATAATGAATGTCAGGTTTATTGCTTTATTTTATGCATTTCTCAATAAAGTTCGCGTATAAAGTGGCGAAGCAATTGTTTCTCCAGTTTCCAACAGCTTTGAACAATATTTTCTCTATCCACGAAAACGGAGACGCACATATTCGAATACCTTTATTAACACGTCGATTGCCAGTAAACATTTTATAAATATCTTGAAAGTGGACCTGTGGATTTTCATGCACGATAAAACTGTTCTAAGCGAGAAACACAGCAGATAGATGCTAGTTTTACGATGCTTTTATTAATATTCACAGTCCAGTGCGATAGAACCTCGATTATCCGTACCTCTGATACTTAAATTCGCTATTATCCAGTTTGGCTATTTATTGTAAACAAGGAACGAACTCGTTACCCTGTTAAAAGTGACCCAGGGGACGAATTTAATCGAAGCAAATAACATGCGAAACGTTCTCCTTTACTTCGAATCTAGAAACTTGAAGCGTTATAAAATAACGTTGTCCTTTACTCGTGGAAAATTTGTGAACCTCTTGCATGCACTAATATAAATTAATATTAATGCATTTATTATGCATTAATATAAATAAATGCATTAATATAAATAAATATTAATGCACTTATTTGTCACCCACGTTAATTCTGTAAAACGTGTGAACGCTAATGACTCCATAGTTAATGCGACCACATCAACACTTTAACCGCCATGTCAACCATATTCGAGTGACGGAATTATTTGCTCAGGTTTAAAAATTAATTTGCTAATCTATTATTTATTACATCTTTCTAATTTTATTCATAAGATCCGCAAAACGTAAGAATATTGAAAATGTAAAATTCTTCTTGTCATACAACTTAATTCTTCCATTCTAATTTGATTCAATAAAATACTATAATTTTACACAATTTTTGCGACGGTCGACGTGACAATCAAAATGTGCAAACATTTTCTTTCATTCTAAATTTCAAATGTAATTCCGATTAACCAATATCCGATTTGATTGATTTATGGACAGATAAATGAAATCACATTTACATAAAAGATAAGATCTAATCCAGCAGCTTGTCCAAGTAAGCGTTCTAGTATCCGGCTATTCACGATCTTAATGATCATTTCCGATAACGGAGGTTCTGCCGTAATAAGAAACTGTCGGCTATTGCGGTAAAACGATTCGTAGCATTAAGAAGAATAGTTTGCAGCCAGGTATCTACGGAAAGACACCCCTCTGACATTTCGTTTTTTTTCGAATGCCTGTTACAGGAAGGTGAGAGGGGTTACTTAGAGGGGCTCGCTTCAAGATATGCAGACCTCTTCAGAACACATTACGGAGACGTCCTGGAGCCACTCGAGGAACTACGCCGCCGTGAAACAAATGCTTCCCCCAGAATGCCCAACACTCAACTCACCACCAGTCATTCACAGCCCATTTACGTGCCTGGAAAATACTCGGTGAGTGAATCTGTCCTTTTCTCGCCGCCCTTGATTTTCATTCTCCTTTCTCTGTTTGTCTTCGTCAGTCTCCTTTATACTTTTCCTTTGTTCGTTAACTCCGACAGAATTCCTTGGTACATACATTACATAATTACACCGATTTTACATTTTGCTCTTTGCCTCTCTCCCGCAATCGTAGAAACTTGTTTCCAGTGGCAACACTACTGTTGAAATAGTCACTTTATTAGCGGCTGCTTGCCAGATGGATTCTACGAATCGTCGACAAACTGCTGCTTTCGTTGTTTTGTTCTCAGAAAATTATTTTCTGAAACATAAAATTTAGGCGGATAAAAGGGCAGGATAGAGTAAAAATAATAATCAGCGATATTATTTTAAATTATTTTAAATCGTTCTCGGGGAAGTTAATTCATTAAATTCTTTCTTAATCTCTATCTTTGGTATCTGTGAGTAGTATCGTTCCACAGTCGCTCTTGAATTTAATTAAAAATGGTATTGTTTATTTACCTTTTAATTATTCTTATTACATTTCATGCATTTTCACGTGCTCCGTTCACTTTTGCTTGTTGTGTAAAACTTTGCATTAAATATAAGTTCTATTAACAGCACACGTTGATTCAACGTTAATGTCTACATTAAGTAGAAATGATCGACCATGATCGGACGCGTCGTGTTCAACAGAAACAGTAACTTTTGAAGCATAAAATCATTGAAGTTTGATTTATTGATTATTTTTTTGCGCAAACAAATTTTACATCTCAACTGTTTTATCGTTAAAAATTGATTTATTAAAAGGTCTCGATAATGCCACATCTGTTTTTGCAATTTCGAATTAATATTTGACATATTTCCACGTTCGTGCAACAGTGCTAAATAGTTTTAAATGTTCAGAAAATAATTACGCGATGATCGACCAGCGAAACGAATTTTCAAAATTACTGCAACTTTGAAAACAGTAATTCTGAGTAATTGTGTACGGAATATTTTCTGAAAAGAAGGTGGTCTTCTTTATTGCCACGCAAGGGAAACTGGAGGTTTCAATGGCAAGAAGAAAAATAACAGGATAAGGGAGAATGTTCCTTTTTTTGTGCAGCCCTCGAGCTGTCTGAGCGACAAAGAAGAGGACGAAATCTATGGCTTTGGATACGGAGTATTCAGTAGACAAATGCTTCAACACCGACAACAGAAACTCGCTCTCGCCGCACAAAATACTACGATAGCACCTGGTGGACATCAGCAGCCTTATCAAAGGTAACAACTTCTCCTAACTCCACTTTCATCCCTTCTGCTGACTTTGTGTTGTTGCTTTTGGACATTGAATCTTGTGGGCCATTAGCAATTATTTATAGAACTGTCTTTTCTGTTTGCAAAAAAGTATCGAATATCCAAAATTCTTTTCTTGTATAGAAATCAGATAGATAGAATATTCTCTGCGATTATTGTTCTTTATTTCGTAAAGATTAGAATCAAAAGCGTCCATTAATTCTATGCGATTATTTTTCTTTATTTCATAAAAATTACACTCAAATATTTTCATTAAAAAAATCTACATGATTCGTATCATCGCCGGTGAAACGAACGTTTTGAATTGTAAATATTATTCCACAATTATTGAACTTATAAAGATGCTTCCATCGGAAATCATTGATTGAATTTATTTATCCGTATTGATATAAAAATTTCAAAATATCCGACGAAATTAAATCCTGTCATTTTTATAAGTCACTTTTAACGCTCGATACAGTAAGCCTTAAAACAATCGTTGACAATTATGCCTCGAAGAATTTTTTATTTTGTAGAAATGGGCATAATAATTTGTAACTATAAAATTCTGCGTGATAAAAACAATGTGGATATCCTATGAAATTTTTCACATAGTTTACAAACACATTTTCATAAGTGCAGAACATGTTACTATTGTATGTATATTATTGAATATTCAGTGATGCATGAAAATATTATATCGGACAGTGACTAGATTTTTGGGAAATCTTTTCGTAGGATTTCCGTATTTTAAGCGGTTGATGGGACACATGTTCTGCCTCGTTATCACACCATTACAGATCAGACGATCGTCGTCCAATTGATTAGCGTCGACACAGGCGTGCTCGAGTGACGAATAGGTCGTGTGTGTTAATTGTTCACGGTTCTGCACACGAATACGTGACGCCCGTTTGTCACACGGTCAATGATGCAATCCGCGATTACACATCCATTACAATCGCCTTTAATGCGCACTTTGAACGGAATATCAACACCCTTATTTAACCGCCTGTCGTTCCAATCCCCCTCGGCGTAAGAATCAAAAGTAGATTCGCCAAATCCTCCAATCAAATATTAGCTATTTCATTGATCTAAATCGCTTAATCTTTTAATGGAAATTGAAAAGTTAGCACGTTATTCATTTTCTTCGTGATTCATCGAATAGTTATTTCGTTGTACCATGTATCATAGTACAGTAATTCCAACAGCAATTTAAAAAATAGACAATTTGGGATGATGATGATTATTCGAGTCTCACGGCTCGTTTTTATAGTTACCGATCGTCAACAATTATAAAAACGAGGCACGAAGATTTGAATAATCGTATCTTCTCTTGCCAAATTGTGTCAATTTTTGTGTGCACTCTGAACGCGAATTAGGGAGAAATTACTGTATTCGTAGTGTTATAAATTACAGTGATGTGAATAATTACGGACTGAAAGTAACTTTTACATTTTTAGTGATATCTGTACAAAAACGTAACAAAAAACCATATTTGAAAAATATATATTAACATATTAATTATTAATATATTATATATATATATAATAATAATAATAATAATATAATATAATATAATAATTTATATATACAATAAATAATATATATATAATATACATATAAATGAAATAATATATAAATATATATAAACATATATATTTATACATAAATATATATATACATATATCCATTCGGAAATAATAGAAAATAGAAATATAGATTGCTATATATATTGTTAAGTTTTCAATTATACATCAGTAACAACGTAAACGTTACTTTGACTCTATAATAACACGCACCACTGTATTCACATTCACGTTGATTAAAAGAAAATTTCTGTTATCTAAATTTTATTAGTATCGGAGTGAACAAATTTCGATTGTACGTTCGTGAAACATATTTGGCGCGAGCGAGTGAGAACTAAAGCACCTAAGTGACGTAAACGAATAAATGTGCACTGTCTGCCATCGTATCATTAGGGGAATCGTAAACTTTTGTTAGACCAGTTTCGATAGTATTCGGCAGCAGAGATATGCCATCGATTTGCAGGTTACATTTTCATTTTATCGACGGTACGTGAATTTTTATCGGACCGCTGACAGAATGGCCGAATTTTAATTGACGATATATGTAGATAGCATATAACCCTCAATAATGTTTAACATCGGGATCGATACCACGTTTACGTCGCCCAGCGAGAAAATAGGATTTCCCGTTGAGAAGCACTTCTGCTCCGGCTATATCACTCAAATGTGTATTTTTATTTACAGCATCGTTCGTTGCCGCAATAGATTAAGATAGATCTGAACGAGAAATCGTCGCGCTCGGATACTAAACCTGTTACGAAAGTGAAATTGATGTACTTCCAGCGGCGTGCAATCGCGCCGAGAAATACCGCTATCAGTGGTGCACACCAATTTTTATTAATATCCTGACAAATGTAAAATGAAAATGAAAATACACCGGGGAAAATGATTCGGCGCGTTCGTCATCCCGTTCGACGAATTCGCAAAAGTGCGATGCAGAATCTATGACGTTTCATTGAAAAGTAATTTTCCATTGTGGCCGGTTGCATTTTGTGTTGACAACGAGCACGGTAAAGAACGGTTAAATGCTGACCAGTGCAACAAAACTCATGGTTCTCACGGAGCGTTTAGGGAAACGGTTTCATTTCCGCTTGTTAATTTTTTGTCTTAACACGTTCCGTGCCGAGCTTTTTTTACTCGAATCTTCACACTTTGATATTTTACTAAAACTTGATGTAATACGTGCAATTATTAATTCTCGTACACATAACAACGTAACAAAAACTTATCAACGCCCATTCTTGCGGTGGAAATTGATTCTTCGGTTCTAAATTTCTTGTAAACAATTTGTTCAGTTCACTAAGTAAACATGCAAGCGTGTACCATCGATGGTACACGTGGCACGGAACGTGTTAATGTTCTATTGCTTTTATCGGCGAATGAAATACTTTTAAAACGATCAGTCGAGTTCCGAGTGTTTTAATTAGATAAATTCATTGATTAGATCAAATTAGATGGATTCTGGAAAATTGACGACGTAACTTTATTGCCACTTTTTGCGACAGTTTTATGTTGTTTTATGTGCAATCACTGTGAAGGACAACGCGGAAGATTTTTCATTTTTATTATGCTTTTGTGATTTATTTTTGATTGACTTTATGTCCGATTTTCGATTTGATCATAATCCATGACAGTCCATAAATAATTACTATATTACTATTATATATTCTCCTGGTCCAGTAACGATCTTTATAGTTTCTTCCTTCTCGTTCAGTTATTTTTCGGCCGAACGAACCTAAAGAAAACATTACACTTTCTCACGGCTTGGCCAACTTGCTGTATATTTTTATGCAACATAAAAATCGCCTGTTCTAATTTCCTGAAAATGAAGTTACCAGAAATGTTTATTTTCTCTTAATAATTAGCAAGTTGAGACCCGTGTGCAGCAGTATTTTTTCAATTCTCTCTCTGTTTCTATTGTTTTGCATTTAATCTATTCGATTTTGTCGCGAGTGCATAAAATCCGACGTCTATTAGTCAGAACAAACCCTGTTTCTTTTCTAAACATTTCTAACTAATGTATACAGACTTTTGTGCACAACTTTATGAACTTATGTAAATATTAGGTCGAGTTATAAATAAGTTCTGTTTTTTTTAAATATTTATTTTGTTTTTTTTTGCATTTCATTTGTTTTCAACCCTTATCTATTTAATCCCTTGACATACTGGGAGGTCGCCAATGGGGTCGTCATTCATTTTATGTGCTACTGCAGACTTCGACAACTCGTCAAGAGCTGTTTTCGGCGGCCGACGTGCAGTATACAAGATATACAACTTTATAAACGGCACTAGAACCAAATTTTTTGTTCCGGAAAAGAAACCGTGCAGTAAAGAGTGAAAATTACAATGAACCGAACGACAGCTCGAGTTTAAAACAGCTCCGTCGACTAAATTTATAACTGTGATTAACACTTTAATGGCCGCACACACAACATTTGTGTGATGCTTTAACCCTTTGCACTCGAAGCCATTTTAACTGTAAATCTAAATTAATTTTTTTGACTTATGATATTTCCATTTTACATGACAAAGTGCATTTTCTGCACACGAAATTTAGTCTTGTGACTCGTACAACAGTTAGATCCTTAACAATTTTTTATATCTAAACTTTGATAACATAAAAATTATCTTGGAACGTGGTGTAACAATTTTAGTGGTGCCTCAGAGTCACCACTCGAGTGCAAAGGGTTAATAATTATTTAGGTGATTGCTTTGACAATTATCACACAATGGAAAAATATGAAATTTGTTATATTAAACGTATTGTTATTGTCGTCGTTTTGTTGTGTTTTACGTGTATGATCGCGCATGTTGAATTGTTTCATGAATTTACATAAATATTGCCGGCCTCTGGCGACGTTTGACTGCGTAGACGTACGGCCATTAAAGTGTTAAATAGCACTCTTACCTCCTTAACAAGCGAAATGAACGACGCTCAAGCAAAGCTCCTAAAATTCGCGTGACACTCGGCGCACTAAATGCATTCTGGAGTTCGGCAAATGTGACCGGCCGCCAGCATCGATCACGCGACTGTTCCGAATAAAACGCTGAAAATTTGATCGGCGCGCGGCGGTGCCTTTCGCGGACCGAGTAATGACGGGCCCGGCACGAATTCATTCGTTGTTAGAATCCCGCCGTACGTGATTATACCGGAATCATGTTAATGCGCCGGTCCTGATACGCGTCGTTTCCATTCCGTGACCATGCGGCCGGTGTTCCGCGAGCCGCAGATGCTCCGGTCGACTCGGAAAGACGAACGTTTATACCGTTCCGCTAAATGAACTTCCATATTAATCTGCATACGTTTAGGGAACGCGGCCGAAAACGTACCGCGCCGGAAAAAAATGTCGGCTATCGTGGCCGCGGACGATTTCAGCTGACGATTTCAGCTGACGATGCCGC